AAAATGTCGTGGTGGCCCGGAGGTTTAAGACGCCCACTTCTCATGCATGAGGGTGCGGGTTCGAAACCTACCAACGGCAAGTACCAATGTGACTTTTTCCGAGTTATATGTACTTTCTAAGATTATTTAGACACCACTGACAAACGGTGAAGGAAAAACATCGTGAGGAAACCTGAACTTATAATTTCTAATTATAAGTTTGAAATCGCCAACCCGCATTGAGCAAGCGTGGTGATTAATGCTCTAACCTTCTCCGTGTGAGAAGAGGCTTTGCTCAGCAGTGGGCATTTATAGGCTGTTGATGATGAGTACTTTGCCCGACCCGGGAATCGAACCCGAGACCCCTTGCCCGGCAGTCGCACTTGCGACCACTCGAACAATGAGGTAGTCAAGAGTGTAGCACAAAGTTATTCCTCATTTAAAATTTATCCTGCGTTTGAAAAATCAACCCTTAGTAGATTTCTTCAATCTAACATTATTATCGCGAACCAGTCCTTGGTTACTTCGTGTCAGAAACATAATCGATCGACTTTATATCAATGTTATGACCTCGTAGTCCTACAATGTCCACTGTATAAGTTTCGTGTTATAAGCCATTAAACTGAAACACGTTCTTTGGTTAACTGTGGCTTGACTTTACCTGTTAAGGTTAAGGAATTATGGAAATATGGCCTTTAAGTGGAACTTTTATTATGTTTGTGTGTAGGTTGAAGCAGTACCGTATTCAGAGCCCGTGCCTAGGGCCCCAATCCTCAGGGGGCCCCGAAAAATCGACAAATTCTACGACGAACACACCCGCTATATGTTGCGCGGCAACGTGAACTGATTCCTGCACGAAGCTAATCTTTGTGTGATGTCGCGGTGAACCTAACGGGTTACCGGGGCTCCAGCTCGACGTGCAGGAGAAGGAACGGGGTGTTTTTAGTCAGTGAGAGTCTGACACTCCGTCCTGCGTCACCCAGGCGGGAGCAGTCATTCGATGATTTTCTCCCCTTAAAAAAAATCTTTGTGTGATCCATAAACAATTGTTTTGGATCTGGGTGTCATGTGTATGTGTACTTGTATGTTTGTAAATACATCCATGATACAGGAAAAAGATCTTGTGTGGGGCAACGTTAAAAAAAGAAAGCGTTCCAAAAGGGCCCTGACTTATTCTGGGGGCCCCAGCATCTAAGACGGCCCTGGGTTGAAGTTGTTATTGCTTTGATTTGATTTTTGGTGTAGGTGTCTGGACTGTGAATAAGTTTATAACGGGTCAGTTGCTTCGTTCAGTGAGTGGTTGTGAGAATAATTGCTAAAGGCTATGTTCTGTGGGTTTGATATTTACGCCAGGATTTTTTTCTGTACTGCTTCGCTTTCCTTAAGACCTCGTTCGTAGTCAGATTTCTTACTAATACATACATACATTTATAACTTCACGCCTGTCTCCCATCAGGGTAGGTAGAGAGTATGTATTTTCATGCATGCATCTCGTCAGTTAAGGGTACTTTTAACTTGGTCCTATGTCTGTCTAAGCGACCTCTACCAACGGCCCAGATTTCTTATTCATACAAATAATAGGTATATGTTAATCACAAGCTATCCATTCTCTGATAATCACCACAAGCTTACACAGATTCCAAGCTAAAAAAAGAAACCGTAAAATCTCCCGGGAACAAAAATTCCCGGGACGAAGAAAAGCATCAATATCTCTCATATCTAACGAGCAAAAACTCACAGACAATAATAGAAGTTTTTGAAAAAAAGTCAAGATCAATTTATGGAATTAAAGGGATTCGGAGAGCTTGGAAGTTGACGCGGCCGGTGGGCGGTTGAGCACGGGATTACCGCGGGATTAGGCCCCCTTCCCGCGTGATCCCGGCCCTAACAATCCACTGAGATTATAAGAAATGAATCAAACGTTCCCGGGATATTGAAACCAAAGATTATGTATTGTGATTGTGGTAGAAGTGGCAATGTGGCTATTATTTCGTTTCAACACTAAGAACAGTAGGTAAAAAAGATGAAGTCATTTTATGGTATGATATATGTAGGTAGTGTAAGTAGGTAGCCTAGAAAATCTAAATCACCCTCCATGGGTTGCAAATCTAGTTAAAATTTACAGCAGACGATTTACAATTCCTACTTACAAGACATTAAATATTATGTTATTTAGAAGAATTGCCATTGTAATAAGAACTGCACATATTTCGAAATATTGGACAAAAATTTCACATCGTATCGTGAATGAAAATCCGCCACACAATACCCATACTCTTAGGAAATCGTATATTGAATAATTTTACAATCCCGCATAACTAATGTAAACATTCATTAATACTTTAACAAAAACAACACTTACTCAAACAAAACCACCAGAAATATAAATAGACACACAACAATAACAACAACTTATCTAAAACCATAACAAACCAACAATTTAGAAGCCTCTTTCTTCCCTTTTTACCTCTTACCCAATTTACCTCATCTAAAAATAAACTCCAATTCGTCAAATAGTCTAAATTACCTATCCTATTGAATAGTCTGCGGGAATAATCTATGTCCCGGGACTCCCGGGGCGGGATGTACTGGTCAATACTTAGTTAGGAACTCCTTTATATTAACTGGCCGAGTGGTTATTGGATGAATCCCGGGATAACGGCCCGTATTGATTCCCCACACTAATGGAAATAGTTTCGGATTTCTAGAGAGCTTTCGAGATACGTGGTTGAATGTGGCTTTGATTGAGATTCGTATTTTAGTTTGAAATATATACATATTTTTTGTAAAAGAGATTTAAGTAGTTAATGATGAGTTTAAAAATAGAACATGCTTTTGTTTTTAAAAAACACATTGTCCCCACATTAGGTTTTTTCCTCTGTCGTGAGTAAGTTTACAAATATACAATTTCTCATACATATGACACTCACAGCCGGAGCAACAATCTGTCGATCACACGAAGACTTGTTGCGTGCCGGGATCGAGAACCCGCGACACGTTGCATGGCAGCCGGTTATCCGGTCACCGCGTCAACCGTGCAGTCAAAAATATGACAAGGATACGGACCAAGAGTCCGTGGAGAACTAATATGAATGTTAAATTTAATCACCATCGAGTCTGTAACCGTTGCCGGCCTTTTAAAAAGGAATACGCTCTTTTCTTGAAGGTTTGAAGGTCGTATCGGTTCGGAAATACTGCCGACGACAGATCATTCCACAGTTTTGCTGTGCGAGGCAGAAAGCTACGAGAGAAGCGCACAGTTGTGGCCTGCCAACCATCTATATGGTAAAGATGGATATGCTGTTGTGAGGATCGATGGCGAAAAGACGCAGCAGATTATCAAGTCAAACAATTCCTCAGAGCACTCCCCGTGGTATAAGCGATACAAAATATGCAACGAAGTTACATCTCTACGCATTGCCAAAGTGTCTAGCTGGTTTGAAACATCCCGACATCTATACCTCATCGGTATTTGCTAGATTTCGAACAATCATTCTCAGGTAAGAAGCGAGGTCGACTCACGACTATGGCTATAACTGATGATTTTAAAAGTATACAAAAAAACTGGAGATACTTATGGCGCTTGATTTGATTAATAGTTTCTGTCACTGATACAAACAGACAGTCTGTTTATTTTAATACTTTATGATTAATAGAGTTAATGTATTTAAAGGTTACCGTTATTGTATTCGTATCGGAAAAACAATATAAATAACTTGTGGTACTCAAAATATACTAAATTATGTACGTGTTTATAATTTAGATTAGTTGATTTTTGTATGTCGACATTGATTTATTTATAGGTAGTTAATTTCAAAGCCTGTCAGTATGAACTGGGTCAACAAAACCCTTTTTACTTATAGATAGCTATTAAAAATAAAACTGACGATTTCTTTATGGAATAAACAATGATTTAAATATTCCTAGAAGGAACTTTATGAACCCTTAATGTCATTGGTTATCAAATAGCCAATTAATTCATATTTTTCTAATAAATTAAATTACTTTTAAACCAATTCCTAGAAACCCTACGACTTCAACCTAGACTCAGCTATATAAATACATAAATACAGTACCTAAATATACAAATATAATTAATTACATATTTTTTTTAGAAAATCACTCAGAACTCGTGAATAAATATGGCGTCAGCAGTAAAGGTGCTTACTTACCGACACATGGGTTGTGGTTTACCACAGCGAATATGCGGTCGCATCGCTTCTTCATGTGGGTGTTGGGGCAGATGCAGCCGAAGAGAGGGGACAGACGGAGACCAGCCCAGGCTTCGCGGCATGCTTCCCTGGTGACGAAAAATGTTGAACATGTTATTTGATTATTAAATCCTTACTTTGTCGTATGAACATACATAGCATAACATCACACCTTTTGTCCCCGAAGGGGTAGGCAGAGGTGTACATTACGGCACTTAATGCCACTGTACAATGTAACACCCACTTTTCACTATTTATGTTATGAGTCCCATGTAATAGGGGGTGAGTCTATTGCAATATACCGGGCACAATTCCAGACTTCGTGCTACTACTGAGATTTTTTTGAAAAAGCCCAGTTATACTTTGGCCGGCTTGGGAATCGAACCCGAGACCCCTTGCCCGGCAGTCGTAATTGCGACCATTCGGCCATCGAGGCAGTCGTATGAACAATAATGCATTTATCTTACTTTTCGACTAAGGAACAACACATTTGGCATAGACCTGGCTGCAGCGCTCTCTAACTAACTTGAACTTTTAAACTGCAATCTCCATCAAATACTATAAGTCGGATCCTAAGATTGATATTGACCTGAATGCTCCAATGAGCATAGAACCTTATCGTGCGCTTCAGGTCCTCCAGCCGTTCGCCTAGTCCACAGCAAGCAAAGCGCAAATCTTTAAAACTTGCGATTAAATATATTTGCAGAAGTAGAGAAGGAGTTGTTTCCCCTGTTCTTCATGTTTAAGAGGAGACAGAACATAATATATGTTAAAGCACCAAACTAGTTAAAAGAAGTTTGGAGAAAGAAGATTGATTAAACATTAAAGTTCAGCTGTCCCGTCTTCGTAGGGATGTGCATGTAACAGGTGTTGCACCGTGTGATCTCCGGAGCAGGTCTCTTTTAGAGGACCCGGTGCCCCTTACAGGTGTTGAAGGTGGCCACCGGGGTGGATGTAGTGAGGTACGAATCCCACACTCCCTAGTCTTTATCCCCAAAAAGCTAAGCGTTTGAAGGTTTTCCTTCGTCATAAAAAAAGGTAAAGGCATTCAATAATGTGTATAGATTCATATAATCAGTTTGTAACCTTTTTTCTTTAGTATTTTTCCGAAGCTTTTCGTCTATAAATAGTAGAATGTAATTAACGGCTTTAAGGAAATTATTATTTTGTAAAAATACCTTATTTTGAGGGACTTTGAAGACTTTTTCTATCCGACATTAGATGTCAGAAACATTTTTGATAATAATTTTTATCAACTATATTTAGAATCCTTCCGACAGCCTGAACCGCGAAAAGATTACTTTGATATTTTTATATTAGACTCTTTTTTATTTTATCTAATCACTTGCCAGTAAATTTTCGTAATTCACTCAACATTTTTGCTGAATTCTGAAAATGGACAATATCTACTTTCCTTCTTTACATCAAACATATTTTACAGATCACCTAATGTAAAATGATCAGCACTGCTGAAGTACTGATGGCTCAGAAGCATTACATGTACCGTTAGATTAGATTTCGTTTATTTCATTTCGTATCGGTTCGGAAATACGTACCTCATAACGTGTCGTCACGTGTTTTTAACCAGCAGCTGTGTTTTTCTATCTAGTTATAGATATATCACTGAATTTACCTGTCATCCATCCGGCATTCGCCATCACGGGCCTTGCAAGCGTTCTTGAATCGGTCGAAGAGTACAGAGCAAGCTCTCTCGTTGTGGCAGACGCTCAGGGCATAAGTGCAGGTCGGCAGGGTCTCCACAGGGTACGGGTCTTTTTCTAGAAGAAAGATCAGGGGTTAATATTGTTTATTTTGTTGTATAAAGAGAACAAGAATTTTCAGTCTAGCAAGAGGTATGGAATTTAGACGCGCTAACCCCATATTGGTGGTCGTGGTGCCCGGAGGTTTAAGAAGCCAGCTTGTCATGAATGAGGGTGCGTGTTCGAAACCTACCAACGGCAAGTACCAATTTGACTTTATCCGAGTTACACGTACTTTCTAATATCAGTTAGAGACCACGGACAAACGGTGAAGGAAAACATCGTGAGGAAACCTAGGTTTATAATTTCTTATTATAAGTTTGAAATTCCCAACCCGCATTGAGCAAGCGTGGTGATTAATGCTCAAACCTTTTCCGTGTGAGAACAGGCCTTTGGTCAGCAGTGGCCACTTATAGACTGTCGATGTTGAACTCCATATTATGGCAAATCATGGCTAAAGCCAGAGGGCATTGCAGACAACTGGAGGTCTACCCCAGAGGAGGGGCTTACACCCTAGTAGATACACTATCAACTTAGATTATAAGAAAAAAAAAACTAACGAAATTGAAAAGCATTTAAATATTTACTTATCTTTATTGATAAATAACATTGGAGTAGACATTCCTATTTATGTTATTTTACTACATGCATATGAATTTACATACGATACATATACCAAAATAACCCTTTTACAATGTTTATCTATCTGTCTGTTTACACTGGCTAATCTCTGAAATGGCTGGGCCGATTTATAGTGGACTTTTATTGGCAGGTAGCTAATGTACTAAGGAGTAACATAGGCTACTTTTATTTTAAAAAAATGCAGACGTTGTTTCAGGTTCAGCTAGTATAATATAATTATCTAAGGGTACTTGGACTTTTTATTTTTATATTTAACCCTATATTAAGTAGGTGTTAAGTACATAATAAAATGTGCGGCACTACGGCTACCTTTTCGTGTATTAAAACGTGTTATTGAAGTCCACGTAGCTATATGTAATGTTTATTATTAGTTAATTGACAATTTTTCACAAGTTTCTGCTTCGATATTCAGGTTTATCAAAGTATAGATTTTTTCTTACGAATGTGAGCACCATAAACTATAAGACTTTCTTTTTATTTTAGTAAGTTTTGTAATTTATATAATGCGTCGAGCGTATCTTTTACGCACATATACGTACAGTATTGGAATATGTATCAGAGACATTGTAGAACATGATTTTTTTTTAAAGAATAACTAATGTATAATATCTTGCTCGTTCTTCTTCATTCGAATCTACATTTTGGAATGAGCTAGTTGCACCTATCTTCACTAACAGACTAGTATTTATTTTGTATTATACGTACGTTTTGTATGCGTTTCAAAAGTACCAAACTATGGTTTAAATCAAATCAAATCAAATCAAATCAAATCAAATCAATTTATTTGTGAACACAGGTTATACAGAAGGTTGTTTAACATACATTAATAGCATCTCTATGTTCTACCAATAAAATTGGTGTACAAATAGTTATTAAGTTAGGCAGGTACCAAGCATTATTAATATATTTAAATTAAACAAGTCTATAAGAATCGTGATAGTATGTCAAAATTTATCATTTAGAAATAGGTCAATAGAATAATATGTCTTGTCAATTAAAAATAATGTCAGTTTTCGTTTAAAAAGTCTAATATTATTTTCGTTTCTTATATATTTAGGCAGTTTATTATAAATTTTTGGAGCCATTGCAAAGATACTGTTCCTGTACAGTGCAGTTCTAGATTTTAATAAGTGTAACTGGTCACAACGACGTTGACTGGTTACTCGGTCAAAATTATTAAAATTGTTTTTGACGAACGTACCAGTTTCATAGATGTATAATGAGGGGACCGTCAAAATTTTGAGGTCTTTAAAGAAAGTGTAGCAGCTGTCGGTAGACTGCAGATTACAAATAGCCCTAATGCATCTTTTTTGACACTTGAATACCATTTCTTTACCGGTTGCATTCCCCCAGAAAATTATTCCATATCTTAATGTTGATGCTACTAGACCATGGTATGCTGTCAACACTGTTTTTCGGTTTGCAGTTTTATTTAACATGTGAAGAGCATAGGAATATTTATTTAACTTATTACACACTTTATCTATATGAACATCCCATTTCAATGTTTTCTGTATACTTAGTCCTAGAAATTTTGTTACATTTGTTTCATTAATACTTTTTCCTTGATATTGTACGATTAAATTTTTGTATTGATCCATTCGCTGTTCAAATTTCATTATTGCCGTCTTATCTAGGTTTATGATTAAATTATTATGTTTTAACCAATTTACAACAGATTCAATGTTAACATTTATATCTGCTTCTAATGTTTCTAAGTCATCACCATCAAATAGTAAGGTACTGTCGTCTGCAAACATGGTCATTGGATATGTTGATGATGTTGGAAAGTCATTTATGTAAATAATAAACAGAGTCGGGCCAAGGACACTACCTTGTGGTACTCCGTAAGTAACAGTTCTCTGACCAGACCTATAAGTTACCTCACTATCTTTAGTGATTCTACTGATAACTGTCATTTGCCGTCTGTTATGTAGGTAGGATTCAATTAGACTCAATACGTTTCCTCTAATTCCATATGCATTTAGTTTACTTAGGAGTATTTTATGATCAACGCGATCGAAAGCCTTTGTCATGTCCATGTAAAGTGCTACAGCTGGTAATTTCTTATCTACTTGACTGCTAACTTTATCTAGAAAGTCGTATATGGCCATATCAATTGACTTGTTCTTCCTGAAGCCTTTTTGATTGTCAACTAGTAAATTATTTTTTTCAAAATATGAAGTTATTTGATTATTAATTACTTTTTCAAAAATCTTAGAAAATATTGGTACCAGAGCAATAGGTCTGTAACTGGACATATTTTCTCTGTTGTCTTTCTTAAAAAGCGGTTTTATTATAGTAATTTTTAATTCACTGGGTAATTGAAATAAATGCTTTGACTTTGACTTTGAATGGATCTAGAAAAGTAAGTATTTTTTAGATTTCCACCTTTTTATTCAATTTCATTTAAAACCCGTTCCAATTTTCAAAAAATATTCCCAAATACTCTCTTTAAACACACACAGGGTGTTACATAAAAACTCTGTAACGGTTATCATACCCACTTTGTCAGTACATTCGAGGTAAACATTGTCAGCTTCAAGCATATGTAGTCTAGCCACAAAAAAAACTTTGACACGCAATAAAACCGAGGAATTTTAAAACGAAAATATTTACAAACTGGCAACATTGACGGGTTACGTTGAACTGGAAATTGTTGAAGTAAATACGTGGAATGTAAAAATATAGATAAGTAACATCACCTTTTGTATTCTTCTGTTTTTTTTTTTAAATATTGCCCCATACTAGGATTTTATACCGTGGCCTACGAACGCTTGCAACACATGCATTACTTGCTGACCTTGAATATACCTATTTACTCCTCTCTTGAAGAACCCCATATTGTATTCCCCTTTTTTTTGAGAGGGAGAAATCATCCAATGATTTTTCCCGCCTTGGGTTAGGCGAGAGGGAGTGTCAGACTCTTACTGACTAAAAACCACCCCGTTCCTACTCCTGCACTTCGAGCCGTTGCCCCGGTAACCCGTTAGGTTCTCCGCGGCTCCGTATTGACATCAGCACTATAGGGAGGGCGTGAAGCTATGTTTTTTTATTTAATATACGATTATCACCCAATATTCCAACACCGTAGATACCATACAGAAAATAATACAAATTGCAATTGTTTTCGCCTAGGCAGCAAACTAAACAGTAATGTTTCTATTGAGATTTTTAGCCATCCTATTGACCTGTCATACACCGCGAGGACACCGGTGACCGCAATCTATTGTTCTTTAATTGTGTCTATAATGACGGTACTCAAAGGGTATCAATATGTCGCGGAGAACCTAACGGGTAACCGGGGCTCCGGCTCGACGTGCAGGAGAAGGAACGGGTTGGTTTTTAGTCAGTAAGAGTCTGACACTCCCTTCCGCCTCACCCAGGCGGGAGCAGTCATTCGATGATTTTCCCCCCTTAAAAAAAAGGGTATCAATACTGGTATTGTTATGTATCAATGAAAGAAAGGTGTCCCTATATTCTAGCCAACACTGATAGCTGCCATCATGGCAGGGTAATTCAATTTTAGGCAAATGTAAAAGACATTTTAGTATTTTCTCAACAAAACGTTCATTAGATAAAGTATATATTTCTATTGTTTTTATAACAAAATACGCAATGCATTGTCCATTCTAAACGTCGAGCTATTACGAGTAAATTGTTCGATCAAAAAACATAGGTTGTCTCAAAGTAAATTAACTTCGTACGCGAAAAGAATGTAATTAGATGAGAATTGCTTTTTTTGCTCGCATTCCTTCAAAATGAAGAATTTTGTGAGTATTCTTTCGATTTTAGTTTAGCTAATTTGGTAGTTTAGCGATGTAAGTTAAGTGGTTGGTAGTTTGACCGCTGAATAAGGTTTTTCCAGTTCGATTGCTGTCTCAAAACTGAGTATTGTTGCGTAACTCGTTGGCCAAGTGGTCGCAAGTGCTACTGCCGGGCATGGGTTTTGGGTTCTATTCCCGGGTCGGGCAAAGTATTACTGGGTTTTTTCAAAAAATCTTAGTAACTCGGATCCTAGAATTGTGCCCGCTATATGGCAATATGCTCACCCCCTATTACAAGGGACTCATAACATAAATAGTGAAAAGTGGATGTTACATTGTACAGTGGCATTAACCCATCCCCATGGTGTGTCTAAACGTGGATCCACGCGACACACAATGTATTTTCTATTTTGTCTCATATCGGTGCATTCATAAGGTTAAGTGCCGTAATGTGCACCTCTGCCTACCCTTTCGGGAGAAAAATACAGATTGACTATTTTATAAAATTACTGATTGTTAAGAATATCTACATTAGAAAAAGCAAGAACCTTGCTGCGCTTTGTATTTGGGAAAAGGTTTTACTAAACCTAGCAGGTAGGTATAGTTTAATCATACTATGGATTAAACTCAGCCCATCCCTTCAGGTATTCAAAGGCTTGCCATTTTATATATTCTAGAAATAAAACAATTCCGACCAAATTAGTCCATTTAAGTCAACCTATTTTGGTAGATACCTAATGGAAGAATTGTGTTATTTCTTTATCAAGGAAGGCCTGCAAAGTGGTATTGATATTGTCAATCAAATTGAACTGCTTCGTAAAGGTCAAGTAAGTTATTTCTTTCAATTAAGGAGGTTAAACTTTATTGAGGGACTGACGTTTCTTTTTCTGTGTTATTACCTCGTAATTGACTGGAAATGATTCTTCTTTTAAGATAGGAAGAAGCGAATTGGACGCTTGGAAAGTTCTTTTTAAGTCATGATTGTGTTCCTTTTATTAAAACAGTATTAGTACCAATGTACTTTAGTTACTTAAGACCATTGAATGTGAACCAGTAATTTTTTAACAATCCGGGAAGTGCAAGCGTGGTCTTCAATGTTCATTTTTTGTTAATTCTTCTCACAAAAAGAGGCATTTTCATTGGATAATTGAAGGAGTCATGCTAGCTAAGGAGGAGGCGGGACGCGTGAGGCTCGCAACCCAGCCATCGCGAAGGACACTCCGGGCGTCGGGGATCGCGACGATCTCCGGCCACCGTAAGCGTGGGCCTGCGGACGGCGCGCATGGGTGGCTCGCCGCCCCAGCACCAGACGCGAGCGTAAGGCGCGTCGCGTTCCGTGCGCGCCTCAAAGAGCCATCAGACCACCACGGATGGGGCCCAATAGGGCTGATGCCGATTCGGTGCCGCGGAGAACCTAACGGGTTACCGGGGTTCCGCCTCCGGCTCGAAATGGAGGAGTAGGAATGAGGTGGTTTTTAGTCAGTAAGAGTCTGACACTCCTTCCCGACTCACCCAGGCGGGAGAAGTTATCTTAAAAAAAATCATTGGATAATTGCAAGTTGGTATAATATGTTTAGAACTCTGGCGTTTAACTATTATCTCATTTATGCCGGGGCCACACTAACGTCAACGTCAATGCCGATTATCGCGATGCTTACTACGATAATTATTGCGATAATTTTAACGTGATAAAGTGGGTGGCTAGACTCGAAATTTCAACGTGAATGCCTATCATGCCAAACGGCAATGTGAATGCCGTTGTCAAATTATCGCGTTGACTCGTGGCTACACCTACGGTGAACGTACATTATCGCGATAAGCAATGGCATTTCTCGTTGGTGTGGCCCGGGCATTACAATGATTGTTGCCATTTGCCATGAAGGAGGTGATTAGGTCATGTCTTTCGAGGAGATAACCTTTGTACTAGTCCGCCAATATACAGTCCATGATGATGCTAACAATGATGGACCCCGCCAAATTTTATTCGCTCATTTAAGTAATATTAATTTAAATGCTATTCTTCTTTAAAAGCCTTTAAAAACAGACTTACCCTTCTTCATCACGAACACGCAGGGATGGTCAAACAGGAAGTCGCGGAAGGAGTTGCATTCAGGATCAACGTTCGGTTCTCGACAGAGGCAGGTCGGCTTGAAGAACGGGAAAGCTTGTAGGGTCCTTAGGGCAGCTTGGCATTTCGTCACGGTCACCGTTGAACAGGCCACTGGAACAAGAGAGGAAAGTGAATGAACATATCCCCTTCATTAATAGGGTAGATGCCTAATTTTTATTTCAGTGTCCGTCTGGTAGATTATTTTAAATCATTAGACACGTATTTTTTATTTCCTTACAGAAACGAATACTTTCGACGATATATTGATTTGAAATGTCGCGTGACGTCACTTCTATGTACATTTTTATACGTATAAATGACGTTTTCGCCCCCATTCCTAAACTTTGATGCGTTTTATCTAAGCATTGTTTTATTAATAAAAAAATACGTGTCTAATATTTTTTCATTACCTAACTTACGAACTAATTAGATTTTTAATTTTCATACCCTGTCATCATCCCAATTTTAGTAATATTCGAGTATTGCATTTTTGATGTACGTTTTTGAGACATGCGATATTCTCAGATCTGTTTTTTTGTGTCTTGTGTTGTCTCTTGGGAATGCGTATGAGTATTTTTTTTCTAGTTTTAAGATATTTTTTTTATAAATAAGTTTAAAAATCTGACTTTAACCCCCTCTTTTATTTGAAGTCTGTTAATTAATATACTATAACTTTCTCCAAGTGTTAACTAACACTTTTCTGCAAACCACATCAATAGCGATTTAGCCAATCGCATGATAATCGCGCACAAACATACGTACATGCATGCAAGTAAAATTAAAAACCCCTTTTTTTTAAGTCGGTTAAAAATATAGCATATTTATTTCCCGCCCATTGTGTCATAAGGCTTTATTTAAGTAGGAGCCCTAATGGGTATTGCATATAAGTGTTAAAAGAGGTTTCATCCTAAATCCTAATTTAGACTGCATGGTTGGAGCGGTGGTAGCAACTAGCTGCCCCGCAACGTGGCGCGGGTTCGATTCCCGCACGGAGCAACTCTTTGTGTGATCCACGAATTGTTGTTCCGGGTCTAGGTGTGATGTGTATGTGAACTTGTATGTTTGTAAACGCACCCACGACATTGGAAAAAATCCTAATGTGGGGAATGTGTTTTTTAAAAACAAAAGAATGTTTTATTTTTAAATTCATAATTAATTACTGTAATCTCTTTTACATAAAAAATATAGTTTGGGTCAAGATTAAAAAAAAAATATCACGGATCCGATTTTATATAGATTTGGTATTTTACTCCCAGCTTTTCTAGACTACTTTTACAAAGTAAATGGGTATGAGAAAATTCTATTTTTAACACGTGTAAGTAATAGGTTTTACTAACGAATATTACAAAAATAGAATTCCTCTTAAGAATATATGAATCTGGGTTAATAGAACGACAAAAATATATTCCCAAGACGTCAAACACAAACACGTGGGTGTTGAAGTAAATGTATCAACTTGTCTATCACAGATCCTGTATATATAAGATAAAAATAACCTGCGAAAACGAATTTGAGATCTATAAACATCAGTACAAGTGTCGAAATTCCTTGTAAATTTATTTTTGAGTTAGAAAAATTGAAGGAAAACATGTTATCAAGTGTTTTTGAGGTCCGATAAATTATTTCTTGAATTTAATTATTTTAAAACTTTCTGTTGATTTTCTTTCGTAACGTTATGTCTTTTAATCCCCAAAGAGGTAGGCAGAGAGGTACAATTTTAATGTTACATCCACTTTCCCACCACTGTCCCGGGAACCTAATTCGAAACACCGAGTCTTGAACCAATGAGGCAGTTAAGATGATGAGGAGTCTGATATTATGACATTATAGGCCATATATATAAAGTCCAGCCTACCTATTACTATTCTAAACTATAGATATGATTTTCTATTCCATATCAGTATTCCATTCGAATTTGGTATCAACTACCTCGTAGATAGCATCTCTAAGACCCGTAATTGTAAGGTTAAAGGGTCTACGGAAGGTCATTGCCCCGCCCTAACAAGCTACGAAACCCTGGCAAAAACGGGATTCCCGATTATCTGTAGAATTAGAAGTTTTTGTGAGGTCTGTGCCATTAGGGAGAAGTTGGCAGTATTAAGGTTTTTCTGGTCTTATTGAATCTGTGAAGTCAATCTTAGGTTTGTAGCTTGAATTTGATTGAAGCCTTAGTTTTTGTATGTTTTAGGTACCTCAGTGTCTGGCGCCAAGCGTTAGGCTCATCGTCATATCAACTACTTAATGAAACATCCTCCATCCAAGTGCTCCTTGCGACCTTATTTAGGTAATCAGTCCACCTTGCGAGTGGCCATATTGTGCTGCACGTCTAAAGCAACTAAGTTACTTCAATTACAATCTATGCTCGTTGATATTTTGTCATTTTGTCTAACATAGTGTGACTTTTGTTTATTTATTACTCAAATGCGTCTGAAAAACTGGAGATCTGAATCAAAATTGATGTGTCAATTTTCGGGAGTTCATTTCAAAGTATAATCATTATCTGTGGATAATCATTATCTGTGGATAATGATTATACTTTGGAATGAACTCCCGTCCAAGGTTTTCCCAGTGGGCTACAATATACGGAGCCGCGGAGAACCTAACGGGTTGCCGCGGCTCCGGCTCGACGAGCAGGAGTAGGAACGGGGTGGTTTTTAGTCAGTAACAATCTGACACTCCCTCTCGCCTAACCCAAGGCGGGAGAAGTCATTGGATGATTTCTCCCACTCAAAAAAAGGGGGATACAATATGGGGTTCTTCAAGAGAGAAGTAAATAGGTTTATTCAAGGTCAGTAAGGCGCATGTAATGCATGTTTTGTAAGCGTTCGTAGGCCACGGTAACCACTTACCATCAGAGGGGTTACTTTTGAATCCAATTCCGATGGATATTGTGAAATTTCGTACTCTTGAGTTGCAACACTAGCGCCCATTGCATCCGTATTGCGTGGATATTTAATGCATTAAATGGTATTGAGTTTGGCTTTATATTCCGTACTCTGACTGCTATTTCAACAGCTACGATAGGGGTCGTATAGCTTTGACATTGAATAATTATTGAGATTTTATTGGATTGAAATTGCGTTGACATTGAGAGTGGTTTCAAGAGTAAGCTAACAGGTGGGCCGTGTGCTTTTTTGCGACAGTCGTGGTATAAAAAATCTACTTTTTATTCGTACTTTTTAACGTGGATATGCCGCTGTTAAAAGGGAATGTTAAATATAATTGTAGTTATGAGAATTAACACACATGTTAAACATGAAAGATTTAATTGTTCCTCCACCTGTTATTAAGTCCAAGAATATCGTTTGTAAGTGAGAACGACCGACAACTGAATACGTATAATTAGCTGATTAAATATTCTGACGATGTTTCAAATCTTTTCAAATCTGGCTTGTAAAACTTTACATACGTATCCTTGTTATTCTAGGTTTTTATTAGTTTTGTTATAAGTTTCACCTTAATGGCCTATTACCAATCACTGAGCACATTCTCAGACTTCGTGTAACAGCTGTGAAGTTTTTTAATAACCGAAAAAATATTAGTAAGTATGTAGTTAATTTTTGTCAGACTGGGGAATCCTTTTGCTTTAGGAAACTTACGACAGTGGTTTCCTATTTGGTTTTTGACATATTTATTGAGTATTTACTATGTTGAAGTGGTTGGCTTTCATTTAAATAAGTGACGGACACTTTTTTTATTTTATAAACTTAAAATACACTATTTTTGGCGACTTGCGATGATGCGTATCTTGCGCAGTTAACTTTAAATTGAAAAACTAGATGGCGATAATTGTAACTTCCCATGGAAAAACTAGATGGCGCTACTTGTAAAATTTGGATGTTTAGATTATAATATTTACCTTATTACAACACACTCAATAAAGAAAAATTCAATTCATAACACCAGAAATTGTAGTGCGGTAAATTGTTCTATCCAGATAGACCTTCACGAGTTTGTGTAAACTTCGTATGGTTCAACCCGTCATTGGTCTTGTTATCTTTGAATTTCAGTTTCACGAGCTATCATTCAGTTTGTGGATTCGTTAGTTATATACTTGTAGCCTGTTAGCTATAATTTTGTGAGTAATAGGTTTGATATTGTGAGGGTATGACCCCTTCATATAGTTAAATCGAATAGTTCTGGAGCTACTTTCGATATCACGCAATCTTGTTCTTGGCATATCTGATTTTGTGATTATAGAAACGATTTCTTAATGATTTTTAACTTAAAATTGGGAAACGAAAAGTCTTTTGGGACTAATGATATTATTCTTCTGACAATATCTGACTACTCAATACAGATTCATAATAATTCCTACAAAACCAAATATAAATACAGCAGAGGCAAACCGAACAAATTCAAAATCCACCAATCAAAACCTCACATCCAATTTTAGACCAATCAGCGCTCTATTCCGTTTTTCTCTTTCTTATCATTTGCTATTACGTCTCAAAGTCAAAGAACAATGTATTGTAACGTCATGACAGAAAATAGACGCCATTGTTACATCATGGTGAACAATTAGCCATGATTAATGGAATCAGCTTTTACGCTTTGTTATGTTCGGAGAATTTTGGATCGATCGTAGAATGACTTGTTAGTGAGATTTGGTTGTTATGTTGTGTAAGAGGTAGTTAATAACATCAACAGCCTGTAGACTATGGGTCTTCAGTACATAATGTAGCTTTGCCATAATTTCTACGCAAGCCAAGTAGGATCATGTTAGCTGATGAGATAGAGTAGGCGTCGGGTATCGCGAGACGATCTCCAGCCATCATAAGCACGGGCCTGCAGACGGCGAGTACGGGTAACTCGCCACCCGACCAGAACCATACGCGAGCGTACGGAGCGTCGCGTTCCACGTGCACCTCAATGAGCCATCAGACCACTACAGATGCGGCCCAATAGTGCTGCGGAGTACTTAATGGGTTGTCAGGGCTTTGGCTCGAAGTAAGAGTCAAACACTCCCTCTCGCGTTACCCGAAGAAATTATTGCATGATTTTCCTTCAAAAAAAAAACAACAAAATAAAAACCCCATGCAGGAACGCAGTTTAAAAAGGTTCAGAGTTTATCAAAGTGCTGCTGCTCTGTCCCTGTTAAAGTGTAGTTC